AACTTGGCGAGACCTCATCTCTACAATAAATCAAAAATAGCCAGGCATGGTAGCGCACGTCTGTAGTTCCAGCTACTTGGAAGGCTGAGACGGAAGGATTGCCGGAGTCCCCAGCAGGTCGAGGCTGCAGTGGCTGGGAGCGGCCACTGCACTCCAGTCTGGGTGACAGAGTGAGATTCCAAGTCAAAAAAAAAAAAAAGAAAGCAGGATTTATTGAGAGGACAGAAAATCTCCCACAGTGGGAGGAGACCCGAAGAGGTTGCCCCTAGTTTTTTATTTTTTTTGTAGAGACAAGGTCTCGCTGTGTTGCCTAGGCTGGTCTTGAAATCCTGGGCTCAAAAAATCCTCCTGCCTCAGCCTCCCAAAGTGCTGGGATTACAGGCAGGAGCCAACACATACAGCCCAGGGAACCTCTTTAAGTTGGCTTTTGTGTCTCTTGGACATGTTGCCATCATTCATTGATATTTCTTTCCTTTCTGGCACAACAAAGTATCACAGGTGCAAGTTATACTTTCCCTGTCCCAACCCTGGAATCAGCTATTTCTCCAAACTTCCTGACTTTTTTTTTTGAGTTGGAATCTCACTCTGTTGCCCGGGCTGGAGTGCATTGGCATGCTCACAGCCACCGCAACCTCGAACTGCTGGGCTCAGGCGATCCTTCCGCCTCAGCCTTCCAAGTAGCTAGAACTACAAGCTCACATTACCACTCCAGCTGATTTTTTAAAATTTTTATTATAGAGGTGAGGTCGCGCCAAGTTGCCCAGGCTGATCTCGCACCCCTGGGCTCAGGCAGTCCTCTCGCCCCAGCCTTCCAAAATGCTGGGATTACAGGCTTGAGCTACCACACCCAGCTTACTTCCTGATTCTTTTTTTTTTTTTTGAGTTGGAGTCTGTCACCCAGATTGGAGTGCGGTGCCCGGGAGCCTCAACCTGCTGGGCTCTGGCGATCCTTCCACCTCAACCTTCCAAGTAGCTGGAACTACAGGCGCACGCTACCACGCCCAGCTAATTTTTTTTGATTTATTGTAGAGATGAGGTCTCGCCTGCCCAGGTAGGTCTCGAACCCGCGGGCTCAGGCAATCCACTCATCTCAGCCTCCCAAAGGCGCGGGATTACAGGCTGAGCCACTGAGCCCAGCTTCATTTTATTTTAAAGATGTGGGGTACGGTCGGGCTCGGTAGCTCAGCCTGTCATCCCAGCACTTTGGGAGGCAGAGGCGAGTGGATTGCCTGAGCCTGCAGGTTCAAGACCGGTCTGGGTAACTTGGCCAAACCTCCTCTGATTCTTGAAATGGAGGATGGTATTGTACTGACAAACCAAGATCTGGGAGGTCACTGTGCTCTTTGTTGCTTGGGTACTGTTGCTTCTAGGCCTTCTCAACAGACAACTAGGAAGTATGTGTGTGTATATATATGTACACACAGCCACACACAACCATACTTGCTTCATTCTGTCTGTAACTGTTTCTCTATTTTTGTGTACATATAGCTTATAAAACTATTAGCTTATACAAATAAATTCCACTTTCAGTCCAATTCCTCAGGGTTCTTTCTAACCTTCCCCTATGCATGTTTGTTAAAAATACAAGCCTGGCGCAGTGGCTCAAGTCTGCCATCCTAGAACTTTGGGAGGTCAAGGTAAGAGGATTGCCTGAAACTCAGGGGTTTGAGACCAGCCTGGGTAACTGGGTAAGACATCATCTCTAATAAATAAAAAAATAAGCGGGGCATGGTACCTTGTGCTGGTGGTTCCAGGTATTTGGAAGGCTGAGGTGGAAGGATTGCCTGAGCCCAGCAGGTCAAGGCTGCATTGGCCATGAGTGTGTCACTGCACTCCAGCCTAGGTGACAGAGTGAGACT